TTTTGGCGGGGGTGGGGGGAGGCGTTACACATTATGCTGGCTATTACACTGACAGTCAGCTATCGAATGGGTCACGGCGAAGTCAAGACACAAGCAAGGGGCGCTAGATTTAACAACATGGCGTCATGATGCTGCGACAATTCTGGTGTGACTGCACCGTAATGTCATGCTGTCCCAATTATTCCCTAGCCATTTCTCAGTTTGTTGCTCTGAAGCAGATGCGGTACATTCCTCGCTACAGACAATTCATAGTCAAGGCATAAATAGGCCCTTCGATGCATTCGAGCCCGACACCTCCGCAGTTCGAAGCCGACTTCTTGCCACTATGTCATCGTGTCCAAAATCTTGTGAGACTTATGTTCATGCTACTTGCGGTGTACGCTGGAGGTTTTGAACTTGACCCACCTGATAGCTGACCTCCACAATCAACGCATGCCAATCTCAAATGGGGGCTACTGTCGGAAAGTTTTTCTGTCAGTAAGGGTAGATAATTTTTGAGCGAGACTGGACACAAGTATTCCTTGCAAATGGCATTCCTGAGCCAGCGTCCTAATTTCGATCAAAAAACAGTTTAACAGCTGTGACTTCCACGCTTTTCCAGTTGAAGCACAATTTCGTTGACTTCTTCGTTGTTGTCATGAAACATGTCATCTGCATCGACACCATGCTCATAATCAATTTTGCATTTCTAATCAATGTTCTTCGTGGTCGACGTCTTCACCATCATCGTGACTGCCACAATCATTGTTTTAGTGTTCTTTTGAACGTACAGCTTGCCCAGATTGGCAATAATTTAAGTGTGCGAAAAAATGCATTTTCTCACATTGGACAAGTTTCTTCACCGATAGAAATTTCTTGGCATAAACGACCGTAACTGAACTTATAACATATCGTATTTCATTCTTCGAGAAACTTTTGGCACATCTTGAGTCGGCATTACGGTGTCTGCTTACGGACCCACAATTGCAAACATACTTAAGACGCGATTCATGCAAATGAGGAAATGGACCGACGGTGCTGAAAGCGTGAGTTCGACGTTACGGCCTTTGCGCCAACAAAACATGACCTTTGGCGATGACGCGTTGAGCTGTTTGCAAATCGGCGAGTCTGTCCAACCAAGTTGTTTCATCCGTCCATTTGTCCCGTGGTTTGCCTCTGAACCATCTCCAAGAGTGCAAATGTGACGGTGGTAGTCGGCTGTGGGTGATTACAGCTGCAGCAAGAGCACAAATTGGCTAATTAATGACTTCTTACGACTGCCAGAACCTTGATGATACTCGCCACGGATAGGTATGGAAGGAGGTATCGATTCGTTGCCTATCGAACAATAATTAATAATTCTCGTTTCTCGATCCATCGTTCAAAGCGAATATTTCAAATGCATGACAAAATTTCCTTTACTTATCAAGGGTTATTATATATAAATAAAATAGCACAAAATTAAACCGTGAATTTTGAATGACAGCGATGTTTGTTCCATTACTTGTTCATCAGGCAAGCTGGCCGATTATATTCTGTCTGTCACTCAACATATACCAGCTCGTACATTC